GTGGGACGCTAGAATTTGATTTGAAGCTTTTGGGTTACAACTTGCATGTAGTTGGTATGGCTCATGGTTTGCAACTTGCAGCCATGGAAAATGGCCCATAAGAAAACATTATTTATGATTATGTATGGAACTGTAAAAATGATGGGTTTTCATTGCTGCGTTAAATAACCAGAGGCTAACACACCGAAAAAAACATTGGGATGGACAAATCCATGAGTTCCCGGAAAAATGGTCTACATTAATGGTGGATGTCCCATTTCGATGTTTGTTTTTATGGGCCAGTTCCTCAACCTTTTGTCATGGCGCATCTTCCGGACTTCCCAAAGTCCTTCAAGGTGGTTCTCCCCCAGTAGCTAAGTTGATGTAGAACCCATCTATTCATCTATGGATATATTCTCCATAAACTCTATTTAGCTTAGTTGTAACATGTTATAACCCAGTAATCTTAGTTATCTTAGTTATCTATAAGCTCCAGTTACGATTCAGTTATGAAAGTTATAATCCAGCTTAGCTTGCCAACTGAGGCACCACCTGGGTATAGCCCTGTGATTCACTGATGACTTGAGGTTCTGCCATTTCGACGGATTCAGGTATCACGGTGATATTCTTCACACCTTTCTCTGGATTTCCACAGACTATTCAACACCTCTGCGCCCATGGTTGAGCAAATACTGAAGATGTCAGTCTGAATTTTTAAGTCTATTATCAGATATGCTGATCACGTTCCCTACAAATATGAAAAAGGCAGTTGACCCCCGGAACATACCCTATAAGTACCTTCTGAGGACGTACTTGGATCTGAATGGTTCAATACTTAGACATTTGTCTAAACAAGACAAGTAGCCCATTCCCAATGCTCTTAGACCTCACATATTTCCCATGAAACATTGCTATAAACTGGGAGTATGCCACGTTGGAGACTCACCCACTTCAATTATTCATTGGTCAAATCTACCCATGTCCGCTTTTCATTGGTAACATCCAAGTGTTTTGTGGCATAGTTGAATCACCGCAAAAGCAAATTCACATGTTAAATACTGTGTGCAATTTTCTTTGTATATATATATATACAGTATATATATATATGCACATCATGTGTATTAGTGTATGCTTGGTTTTTTAAAACATAATATATATATATATATATTGAATTATTTAGGTACACACAATATCGCATGATATCCGCATCAATCAAATGGCTGCGTCTACATCCCCGGTGTCGTTGATATGCATGGCATCCCGGTTGGATCCCTCCATTTTGGCAGCATTGATTTTTGTTGGATCGTGGACCGAACCAGAAATTCATATACAGTGATGGCCATGGCCCAAGTAACAGTTATAAATGGGATTAGTAACAGTTCATGATATATAACCAACTAGTTATAGGAGTTATAACTCATCCCAGTTATAACCGTTAGTTGGGCCATAACTGAAGAGGTTTCATGATTTTTTCTCCAGATCCGCCTCAATCCATGAAGAGGCCGTTGGTGCTCGTCGTGATCGGGGAACCTCTTGGTGCTTGTGGAAAATCTGATGCTAAAATATCAACAAAAAAACGGTTGTATATTCTTGGGTAACCACAAGATACTTACATGTATCTATGTATATTTCGTATATGTTAAGCCCATGTGTATATATATGTATATAATATTGTATAATTTCAAACACGCTGCAGAACAATAGAGTTGCAAATCATAACAAAAGAGGTCTCGGCAATGGTCACAAGGATCCCTTTGCTACGCCCCTGACAATGGCTCGCATGTTGTCCCTAGGCTTCCAAACATCTTCTGAGAAGAAATGTAGACCCTCAAAACCGACCTAAATCACCTTCTGTGGTGGGATTCTGATTGCAAAAGGGGGTTGTCAATGGACCCTGATCCCCTAATCCGTTCCAGCACATAGTTTACAATGTGCTGGTCAAGTGTTTCTGCAAAATATGGATGGTGAATGATGGTGAGACTGTGGTATTGTCACCCTTCGAAATACGGATCATCACAAGTATGGACAAGAAACAACATACAGCTGCCAATCAGATCAATCAGAAGAGTTTGTTTTTCCAAGATATTGCACATGATCTTCAGCGAATTTCGGCAGCTTTTTAAGTTCTATATCTATTGAGGGCAGCGTCAAAAACACATTTGTCCCCTGGTTCTTTGAAGCATCAGTCAAACTCACTTCAGATTCTTCAGATGCTCATCCAAGTCCATCTACTACACTAGGGATGGGAAAAACGTATACATAGTTACATTCATATGTACGTGTAGTTGTATATTACTATATTATAAATATTATATTATATATATATATGATATAATATATATATGATACAAAATATATATATATATATATATTTATGATAATATATATATTATCATTATATTATATATATATTAAATATAATATAATAATATAAATATATATATATATTACTATTAAATGATATATATATAATATAATATAATATTTACAATATTTTAATTATATGGTATATATATTATGCATATTATATGTATTATAATATATATATATATATTATATAGTACATATAATATGTACAATATATATAATATAATAAATAATACATGTGATATATTATATATTATATATATATAATATCATTATCTATAATATATATATATATCATTCTATATATATATATATATATCATTAAATATATATATATATAACATTAAATATAAATTACAAACATATATACATATTATATATACATATCATTATTAAAAACATTTAGTATTATATACGTATTAAATCATATCATATTATATCGTATTATATCATATTTTATCATATTATAATATTATATTATATATATTATATATATATATACGTATATATTATTTCAAGAATCTCAAATGCCCGGCCACCATTCCCTGCAATCCAAAGCTTCCAAGAAACGGCAGAACGGACACGACTGCAAGTTCCCTTGGCAGGTGCTGCCTTGGTGGAAATGTTCCGCTTTAGGTTATAAAAAGTGCTGCCCTCTGATATGATTGTTGTTTCATAAAAGCCAAGCAAATTCGTTACCCTCTGGTAAACTAATTTAGCTATAGAACGTGACCTTTTTTTAAAAAAATAGGTAAATCAACTATAAATCAGCCTTTTTCTATAGCTATGCCATATTACCAGAGGGTAAATATTGTATAATACCTATCATAGACCCAACATTTATGTGACCTAAATGCACATTTTCGCACCATGATAGTTCATGGGTTTTACCAATAGTAAAGTTAACATAATAGTCAATTTATAAGTAAAGCAAAAGGATACACCATCCCCAATGACTGACCATTTCTATGGCTGCTACACGTAATCCATCAATCGAAAAATGGCTGGTTTATGACAATGCTTTACTAACATTAGTAACAAATCTACCATAGACCCAGCATTTATGTAACCTACTGTATACCTATAGGGTCAACCAAACTCTCCCTCTATATATATATATAACAATTGTTATTGGCATTATTTATCGCCTTGTGAATATCTGTCCAACCTCCATGAATATAGCTATGGGTCAAAACAGGAACTCCATTCATTCTAGGGTTGGTGATTTTGACCCGGCGGGGATCTGCAGAGATGTTAATCCGATCTCCCTATCAAATACCTCCGTTAAAGCAATCCCACAAAGAACAGATCCGATATTAAATGAAGGTTTCCCAATGTGGTCTTCAATATCGGGGGTCCAAAATTTCTGGTGACACAGCCCAGAACCAAAACACACAAAAAGGCAACCAACACGGCTCGCCCAGATGCAAAGCGTGTGACCACAAGGTACAAGCACCACCACCTAGCAAATGAAATCCCAGAGTCACCTGTGCCCTTGGTGGGTTCCCAGCTCCCATGCAGCTGAACTTCTAGTGGCTATGTATATTCAGCATTTTTTTAATTTAAAAAAATAGGGCAAAAGATCTACTGTAAGGGAATGGCTGGGAACCGCCATGCATATAAATCCGAATTGGTGTTGATACTTGATACCCTAATTTTTGAGGCTAAGGCCACTAAAGTCACTACAGTTCATTACTATCATGTGGAAACTCTTAATAGCTCCTTGGCTCCCCATTGAGTACGGAATATGAAAACCTGAAGCTCCTTTTCTCATCTTTTCTCCATCCGTTCACCACTGGATAGTTATTCAAACCAAAAAAAAGTTGGCTTCTTTTCACCCCTTGAATAGTATAGATATACATCCCCTGGACGCATAGTTATATGTATATATATATATATATATATATATATATACGCGCAACGCTGATATACGCGCAACGCTATACATATACGTATAAATATATATATATATACATAGATATATAGCATAAACTAATCTTCTCTACTGCTTAGCCTCCGGTGATGAAACATTGCTTGATGGAAAATCATCAATATACCCTCTGGTAACCTAACATAGCTATTGAACATTGCCATTTATAGTGGATTTACCCATACATTAGAAATAGTGATTTTCCATAGCTATGTTAGTTTACCAGAGGGTATTGCGTTCGGTGATTTTCCAAGCTATAAACCTTCGAATTGAGCTCGCGGATCTCCCGTTTCTAGCCGCGTACTTGATAAAACCAAAGGGTAAATCAAATGTCAATTGATAATTCACTGCAACACAACATTAATAATCAACATTAATTACCCTCTGGTTATTTAACATAGCCATGGAAAGTCACAATTTTAATAGGTAAACCATCTATAAATGGGCCATTTTCCATGGCTATGTTAGTCATAACCAGAGGGTAAATTCCACTGCAATACATTAAAATTCCCATGGCGGATCTATAAATCCCAGCATATGATGATGCGTTAAACCATTGTGAAATCATCTAGTTTGGCTTATTTTCACCTTATGAATAGTAGTTCGATAGATCCCCTTGAAACATCTTGAAACCATAGATTTATCCTAAAATTCATCATAAATCATCATAAATCCATATAAATCCCATAGAATCCCATCATGTTTATTGGTGAAACCATGGTGATCATGATGAACCCCCACCAATTTCCAGCCGAGTTTCCGGTCGTATCTCCTGGCAGATGGGACAGGTGTTGGAGCATCCCCCAGTGCTCGGCGGCGGCGCTGGGGTGTCCACCTAGAGGGACCGACACACCAAAAATCCTGGGTTTGACCGGCAAAAAAAAAAAATCATAACATGTATAAAATTAGCTTTTTCATGGGTTTACCATGTTTTGCCAGCCAAATTTGGTGGCTTTGACTTTCTTCTATCTAGATCATATTGGTAAAAATGCTGGTTTTAGCGGCACAATATGTGATTTTACCGGTAACGAATGGTGGTTTGAGCGGTGACACTTGGCAATCCAAGAATTATATATATATATATGTATATACAAGAATGATATATATATATATAAACTTTAGTGATTCAACGGGTGAAGATTAGAAATTACCTCTCAACAATTTGAGATCCGACCAATAAAACATGGAGATCTTCAGAAGAACGTGCGGATGTACTGGGCAAACATTTTCAGACTACTTCCAGTGGTAGCAGCAAGTTGACTTTCGTAAATTACCATCCAGAAGTCATTGAGCCATCAGTTGGGTGGAGATCCTTTTTTCCGAAAATCTGAAATTCGAAATCCATCGCATGGCCGAGATGGAGACATAGACTTCCCATTATTGAGATGATTCAATGATGATATCATCATGAATGATACAGTATTTAAATTTAATATGTATATAATTCAATTTTGGGGTGCAAATCCAGTTCAAGAATGACTTGTGATGCACCATAGCTATGAATGAATTCACCCTGGTTGTACCCATGTCTAGTCCCCAACAGCAAGCCCAAGTGTGATTTCCTTAATCTCTGACCATTTTGGGGATCCATATTACGCTTCCCAACGCCGGTTGTGGCTGGATCTGTCGAAGTTCCCGTAGCCAATGGATTGCACCCACCAGGACTCGTTTTTTTCTCATGGGCCAATTTATTGGGGCACCCAAGACTAGGATGGTTCGCTTTTGACCAAGACCCATATTGCGTGATTCTATAATAAGTTGTGGCATCATGTGTTTCATTTCCCCCTGGGCCCAGTGTAACAGTGAATCTTGGCAGGTACAAGGGCAAGGGTCTTTAAAGCCGAGCAACTACATGCCAGCTAGCATGCAAGGTGCACAGAACTGCATGTTGTTGGAAGTCGTAGTAGTGCCTCAGTCAAACTGGTACCCAGTACCAGATCTCCAAGCCAATTAACTGAGGTGCCACGGGAAAAAACAACACAGATATATAGATTTGTTTTTCACACACTTGATTATATAATATTATATATATCTATATTGTTTCAAAATGTGGATATCAGGTTTCCCTCCTGAGCAAGATTCCATGTTTCGGGGTTCCACATCATTGTCGAACAGAAAGAAATCCGCTATTGTTTTCCGTTCTGCCGCGTTGAGTCACCCCATATCACCTGGTGCGGTCAGGGTTGTACAGATTCCAACTCAAGCCCCTTGATTCCAACACCGCAAAGCGGCACCCCAAAGTTCTTGCTCATTTCAAATTCTTCAGACTTGGATATATCTCTGGTGGTGGTATACCATGGTATACCTACCCCTCTGAAAAATGATGGACTGACTTCGTCACTTGGGGTTCCTATTCCCAATAGACATAAAAATCCGTGGTTCCAGTCACCACCAACCAGATATGAGTTCCCCACGGATTCGATGTGCGCCCCCCCCCAGTCATATGTGATCCAATGTGATCCAATCCAACTATAGACATACCCTCTGTTTTTTTTGGCATAGTGGTGGACAATGGCCCATGTATAGATAGTTTGTGATAATTTACCTCTGAAAAATAGGTATTATCTTAAACAACAAGAGGGTATCTACCAAAAAACATTTTCTAAACCTGGCTGTTAAAACCAACTGGCTAAGTGGCTGAGTGACCCTTGTGATCAGTCCCCAAATTCGAAAAATCTCTGACCTACAAACCATGGGCAATTCTATATGGTCATATGTCCGCAGACATACCGATCAACTTAGGGGCCCAGATTATATATATATATGTATATGGCATATGTGTATACAGGATGGTTGCCCCCCCAGTGATGTTTGTTGGTTTCTAAACCCCATGAATACTATAGTTATATCTGCCATAAACCATAGTTATGGGAGTTATAAACCAACTTATCTAACTATGGGGCACCACCTTGTATGTGTATATATATATATATATCAGTATATATATATCCTCATTGCTCTGCCATTATAACTGATTTCATCATATCACCCTTATTGGCTGTTTGGATCCCATCGTTGATTTTCGTCGATCATGGCTGATGTCACAGCCAACAGTTGCACCAGATATCGTATCAACACTGGATGAAAAGCACAATCAACCGAATCAACCATTCCCCCCAAAGAAACAATAGAATAATTCAGCAACAATCAATCAACAAACGATTGTAATCAACAGGGCTTGTGGTCACTGCTAAGTCAACACCTTTGCTACAAGGCACTTGACCTCACAACTGGCAAAACCCATAGTGTCCAGTTTGGCCTTTAAGGTGTCCGCGATCTGATCCACACCTGGGTAAGTCTGGCGCCATCTGATCCCGATCCAGCCGGAGCTTCTTGGCATGTATTTGGGGTATGCTTTGGGGGCTAGCCGTACCTTCTCAGGAGTCTGGATCCACATAGTGTATATATATATATAATTTTATATATATATATATATGTGATCCAGCAAAACAAGAGAAAACTTCTTGGATGCACCACAGCCGTTTTCGGCACGGCGCTGATGCAGGGCCCAATCTCAGGGATCGGAAGCGAGCGCAAGGTGAAGCTGTCCTGGGCATGGTGAACCATAAACATGAACCATAAAATGTTGGGGATAGCGTAGTGACCTAGTGGATAAGTTAGTTCATACCGCTGGAATCTGGGGATGAATCAACACCTATAAAAAAAGGACGCCCTGAAAAAAGATGCCAAAACGTGTTACAAAAAGATGTTAGGTCGATGATATTTACTAGGCATATTTTCAGATGTCTCACTTTTTGGCATCTATTTTGGGGTTGCCTGGTGATAAACCATACATTTTGGGGATACCCTTTTGGCAAAGGTGGTTTATACATGTTCATACCAACTATCAGGAAGAGTTCTGGCAGTTACTGACCTATAATCAGATTCTATGGTTAAAAACTGGCAAATAAGAGTCTAAGACGAGTGTTACCATCAAGAAAATGGAGCTTGCTATAAATGTATTGATATCGATATGCTTGGATCAGAACAAAATGGGGGTTGAGTTGATGGCGAAGGGTAACCCAACCAACCATAATAATTTAAGAAGCCCTTAGCAAGGCTTGATTGTGGCTACAACAACCGCTTCAAAAGGCCATATTTTGCTGGCGGGGTGCTGTACTACTTGGTGAACAGCCTCTGGTCATTTACATTGCTATGGAAGGTCACCATGTTTAGTAATCTATAAATGGATCATTGTCTATAATTACCCATGTTATTCCTTGCCAGACTGGTCATTCCTTTGTGACATGATCGAGTCACCATCGAAACTTTAAGGATCATCCAAGCATCTGCCAGGATTTCTGAAGTATGAAACTACAGCCAGAGATGCAGCTCTAAAATTTCAGACCACGAGAAAAAATAGAAACAAGTCAAAGAGCCGACCTTCATCATCTCCCAATCTACCAGGTATATATATATACCAGTTATATATGGTAGATTGTAGTTATCACTAAACTAACAATATGACTATACCAGTTAGTATATGGTAGTATAACTATACCAGGTAGTCATCTACCAAGAGACAATATAATAGTTTTCTCTCTCTCTCTCTCTAAAAAAAACTATTGCATTTCAGGCCATGAATTACCGCTATGATTTCATGGCCAACAACATGTCAAGACTTAGTTATCATTTAAAAAAAGAACATGAAGATCCATGAAAATTGACGACATTGGAGGCTATTTGAGGCCATCTGTTCAAAGGTCCATAGTTAAATAGTTGATTTACCCAGCTATAACATGGTGAAATTCCATGGTTTTACCATGATTTACCCATTAAACATGGTGAATTTCCAGGCCGGGTCAGATGTCCGGCTGTCCGGCTGTCCCGCGGCACCAAGGCACCAGGCCCTTCTGCGCCTCCGTCTTGCAGCCGTTGAAGAAGAACTGCACCGTGTCCTTCACCCAGCCATCTGCCTGGCGATGAAAACGATGGAGCTATCACTGGACGATGAAAATGATGACGAACACTAGGGATTCATGATATTTAGTGATGAATATGTGATGACATGTGATGAATGTATGTTGTATATAAGTTATAATATGATATAATATGTATAAATTTCATGAACAGTTCTAAGGATTTTTGGGAATTGCACTCAGAATTGTGCCAAGACTTCAGCTAGCTGACTTGTGATAGATCCCAGTAAAGGCCTTTTGAAGTCAAGTCATATCAAAAAACAAAGAAGAAGTGGTTGTTACAAAGTACACCAGGGTGATAACCTTACATCCATCAAAACAAGCCAACTGCACCCCGAATTTTGTGTTTCTATCGCTTTGCCTCATGTCTTGTCTCAGTCTTTGAAACCGCATCGGTACATGTTGCATATTTATGCATATTTATCCTATCAATGTCGGGCCCCCTAGATAGCCAAGATAGCTAAGTTGGTTTATATGTTTATGGTACTCATATCTATAGTTACTGGGGTTCATAAACCAACAAACATCACTCGGGGGCCCCACATTGTTTCAATCACCCCCCCAATCAAAGAACCCAACCAAAAACTGATCCATTTTCACCCCCATCCCACCTGCTGAAATTGCGAGGCACGCGCGTGCGCGGTCAAACGACCTAACTCTAAAGCCATCATGGCGCCGATCCCAGCGGAGCTTTCGCATCGTGGTCCCTGTGGATCCAGATACCCTCTGACTAACAGTTTGGTGAGTTGAAAATGGCCATTTCTTTGGTGAGTTTTCCAACAGAAATTCATGGTGAGTTGATATCTCTGAGATAGGCCAGAAGTCTCCAACAGTAATTTCAGTAATTCTGAGGCAATGTTTGTGGAGTCAACTAATGTCAACTACCTTCTCAGGAAGTCATTGATGGTTTCTAGCCAAATGGAAGCTGCCAACCCAGGCCGCTGAGCGGCCCGCCATCATTTTTGTCAGGATCCTGAACGTGATTTTTGAGTTTGCATCTGGCGTGATAAAATTGAGCCACGAAAGGGCCACTATCAAAATATCTGAACTTAATGAAACCATATTAAACCAGGATTTAGCTGCAGGTTGCAGAATTTCAACATATTCATTGTCCTTGTTCTCTTTCTTTCTTTGTCTCATTGCATGGCTGACTTGATCGCCAGCCTCAAGGCCTTGCTGGCCTGTGTTTCATCCATAGCTTCTTCATAAACAGCTGCAGAATTCAAAAGGTGACAGAGCGGTGTCCACCCTGCAGCTATCACCAGTCAAATCCTCCAGAAAAATAGGACCATTCGTGGTGATATCAGAGCCAGAAAGACTAATCTAATATGTATACTGTATACCATCCCATATGCTCCATGGTGCTGGTGTATTTACCTACAAAACTGGGTCATTTATGGGGCAAATGTTGGGATTCATATTCCAGCACCATGGAGCATATGGGCATAACCGGTTGGTAAATAATGTTGATTTTGATACGCATCAACAAAAAGTCATTTCTACCGATCAAAATCCCAACCAGACACAGGGGACGCATATCCCGAACTTGTGGTGGTTAATTACAGCGTCATGGTTGTACCCATCAACACCACCTCAGCCACACCCCAATACAGTTGTTTCATTAATTATATATATATATAATATTCAGATTCCTGCGTGTTATCACCTCTTTATATCAATCAACCCACTGTTACACCTTCCATGTTTCATCGTTGAATCACCATATATCACCGAATTTTGTTTACTGCAGTCAATGGTTAATGTGGTAAACCCTAAAAAATACACCATATGCTCCAAATCACCATCAATGGGTCGTACAAACCATCCCCAAATGGTAGGTTTATCATTGCATTTCCCACATTATATCATTATATCAACTAAAAATTGTGTAAATGCCACACTTATGCACCCAACGCTTTTCCCCACACACCACCAAGTGCTGTGATGACAGACTTGACACCTTGCAGCCATTGAGCTTTCAGCTTCTCAGGAGAAATTCGCATGACTCTCTGAAATGCACTACATTTTTGCATTTCATGGCAATTCTGGGGGCCAATAAATGCAAATGCTCTTCAGGCCAAAGGCTTGCTAGAAACTCGACTTTCTTCGTGTACTCATTGATCTCAGTAACACCGGGATCAAACTGTGGTATCATACTCCATGGCAAATGCGACAGGGATCCCGATGTGGTGACGGTTTCCCCCGAGGCCATGCCACTGCCGGTTTCGGAACCAGACATCCTGGATCTCCAACTTACAGCTTCGAATACCTTTCCAAAGAGGCCTCCCTAGGCACGAATGTCAGGCAACGGAGCTGGTTGGTGGTAGCTCCGCTACCAATGTGGTTTCACCCACACTGGTAGCAAAGAAACAAACTGCAATCCCGTAAGTGATGGACACCCTGATCTCCGCGTGAGCTCCCAAGCTCTGCCAGTTTTCCACAATGGCGCAAACGAATCTCACGGAAGTCACACCTATGACACAGGCTACAAAAGCCCTCAGCCCCCTGTCTGTTGGCCGCCCTGAGCCACTTGAAAAAGCATCGGTGGATGCAGGCATCATGATTTACTCTCCAGGATTCAACGTGTTGAGTTCTCAACCACGATGTTCAAGCGTCTAATCTCAAGGTTTGGCACGAAAAACGCAATATATATATATATGTATATATAATTATATATATATATATATATATCAATGATATCCAAGCAGTTAAAGCCCAAAATACCACTTATGATAACCCCACATATAACCGTTAAAATCAATGGTAAAGGGCTTTAACTAAAGGGATCTGAATGACTGACTTAAGATGGAGGGAAATTCCTTGATATCGTGCAAGGTGGTGCCCCCTCACAGTGATGTTTGCTTCCCATTCTGTATATATATATATATATATCTCTCTACCATGAACGAAAATTATACTAATTATAAAGCAACTTAGCCAAGTATGGGGCACCACCTGGTGATACTTGGTGGTTCATTCCAGCTAGAAAGTGGCGGCTATAACCAGTTAGTAAGTTGACTAACCCTACTTACCCTACTTTGACAGTAGTTGGGGCTAGAGTCCCCTTACTAAGTGGGGTGAAACACAAAGTATCATGAAGTATCTACAGCACATGTTTGTTAACTGTTAGCTGATCACGTCTCCATCCTTTTATATGGTCAACTATGTATATATATATATATGTATCTTGATCTCGGCGCGTGACATATGGCCCACGCTTAGGACGATTGTGATGATGCCCGCAATGCTCACGATAATGACTCCAGTTTCATGTTGCTTGCTACACCACCCTAGGTTGATCAGAACCAGAACATTGCAGCCGCTAATGGTTATGGTTTTACTGCCATAAATTATCTAAAGCGATGTTTCAAGTAACGTATTCACCTCAAAAATGGCAGAAAATCATCTCGCAATATCCCATTTAAAAATATGTTATATCTATAAATCTATGTTCTGCTGAAAAATCATCTTTAATCATCTTCAATAATGCGGGTAAAACAATCATAAACTATCCCCCAGTCATCACCATTTTTATAGATGGTATAAACCATTCCCAGTCATTGGTGGTTTATGACATTGTTTTACCCACATTATAGCTATTGAAAATGGTCATTTAATGTTGATTTACCCATAAAAAAACTGGTGTTTTTTCCATAGTTATGTTAGTTTACCAGAGGGTAAACCCCATGAACAGTAAATATATATATATATATATATCTACCATAACCGCATAAATAGGTGGTGAGAATACCATTCCCAAATTAGTGTCAAAACCCATGGTTTTTTGCGGGTGACAAAAACAAACAGAATCGTTGGTGACCCAGCTCTGCCATGGCACCGCCAACTTCTGGGCGAAACGCCGACGCCGCTCGGCCTGAAAACTTGGAGGATCATCCTCTGGTTTAACATGTGTGAAAAATTGAAATCTCATATATATATATATACATAAATATATATATATAATATAATTATATTAATTTGGGATACAGATTAGTGTGGGGATACACAAATGTGTTCACAGACTCCAAAATAATTGTGTACCCTTGGAAATGATGGAGGGGTACAGTATTGTGTCCACAGGATTTTGGAGTAAGTTTTTTCAGTTGTTTTTTTTTTAATTTTTAAATTGTTTTAAATTATTTTCTATTTTTTTGTTTAATTTGATAATTTTGATAATTACATTTTTGTTTAAAACCATATTATTTTTATATGTTCAATTCTTAATTTAACAATTTAAACATTACATGTTTTTTTTAATATTCAATTTTTAATCTAACAATTTAAACATTACATTGTCTTTATATATTCAATTCCCCACCTGCCAGGTGAGGGTTGTTAGATTTTATGTCAGTTGCCTCCTCCTCCTCCTCCTCCTTCTCCTCCTTCTCCTCCTCCTCCTCTCCTCCTCCTCCTCGTCCTCCTCGTCTTCCTCGTCCTCCTCGTCATCCTCGTCCTCCTGCTCAACTGCGACCCTCGACGCACAGTGTTCTCTGTCGGACCTCAACCACGACCATCCATGCTCAGTGTTCCCTGCCGGACCTCAACCACGACCATCCACGCCCAGTGTTCCCTGCCGGACCTCAACCACGACCATCCACGCCCAGTGTTCCCTGCCGGACCTCAACCACGACCATCCCCGCCCAGTGTTCCCTGCCGGACCTCCACGCCCAGTGTTCCCTGCCGGACCTCAACCACGACCATCCACGCCCAGTGTTCCCTGCCGGACCTCAACCGCGAGTATCCACGCCAAGTGTTCCCTGCCGGACCTCATGAGATATGCCAGATAGAAAGCCAGAAGATATGCCAGATGGAATGTTAGATAGAATGCCAGAAGATATGCCAGATAAAATGCTATGAGATATGCCAGATAGAATGCCAGAAGGTATGCCAGATAAAATGTCAGATAGAATGACACAAGATATGCCAGATAGAATCTCAGAAGATTTGCCAGATAATATGCCAGAAGATATGCCAGATAGAATGCCAGAAGATATGCCAGAACATATGCCAGAAGATATGCCAGATAGAATCCCAGAAGATTTGCCAGATAATATGCCAGAAGATATGCCAAAAGATATGCCAGATAGAATCCCAGAAGATATGCCAGAAGATATGCCAGAAGATATACCAGAAGATATGCCAGATAGAATGCCAGAAGATATGTCAGAATATATGCCAGAAGATATGCCAGATAGAATGCCAGAAGATTTGTCAGATAGAATGCCAGAAGATATGCCAGATAGAATGCCAGAAGATTTGCCAGATAGAATGCCAGAAGATATGTCAGATAGAATGCCAGAAGATTTGCCAGTAAGAAAATGTAAAAATGTCACGGTGGGGATCACACGAAGTAAAGTAATTTTTAATTTGACAATTTAAACATACCATTTTATATTTTTCTATAATATAAGGTTGGGTTCACTATTGTGTCAGGGTACACTATTGTGTCTTGTGTCAGCTTCTTCCTTTTTTTGTTTTCAAACATTTTATTTTTTCTTTTACTTTCTGAGTTTTTTCTCATTTGATCATTTGAAAAGTCCAAATGTCCTTCCACAGAAAATTAGAACCAGATCCACAATAGTATGTTTTGTTCGGGGGGGTACACTATTGTGTCCAGCTGCTTCCTGAGGTGATTTTGATTTTGTTTTCAATCATCATTTCCTTTACCGTT